GTGTGTGTGCATGGTTGTGTTTGTGTGTGCATGTGTGTGTGTGTGTGAGATCACTGAGGACAAAAACAGGCCTGTACCCTATATGACCATTGACCAGCTCTTTGTACTATTTCTTGTACTAAATGAGATAAAATGATCTGTTGTGTGTGAAGGCCAGTCAAGCTTATATAATATTTTAAATATATATATTATATTTTATATTTGGTCCAGAACACTGTGGCACCTGTAGCTTAGCTAGATAATATTATCAGGTGTCACAAAGACAAGAAAGAAATTAGTGATTATGAGCATTATTAGTCCAGAGTGCCACTGGCCATCACCTGTTATAAATAATGACAACAGGTAGAAAGATGATTCAAAAACAGGTGTCTGTACCATATAATTATAGGGAGGTAGTTACTGTGCGGTTGCTACGTTTCACTCACTTTTTAATAAGGACCTGCCAAAGTAAACAACACACCTCTGATTTTACTGCTTTTCACTTTCTGATGCATCACAGAAAATCCCTGCACTCCAAATGATACTGCACAATAATATAGATGGCTTCCTTCCCCTGATAGTTCCCATAAATGGACTCGACAGCAGTTCTTTTTTGGAATATTCCTGTTAAAATCACATATCTACTATCTATTGTTCTGCTTTGCTTTCAAGTCACAAACAAACCACCCCAAAGTCCTAATGGAACCCAAACCCATCTTTTCAAGTGGTCTCAGCCGGTCGGTTTGGTCCGCATAAGAGTTAGATTGAGAGTTTTCACAGCAGCGCAAACAAACTGAACAAACTTCATTACGGTTGCACTTTCATTGTAGTTAGCTCATATCTCAGATACATCACATGTCATGCAATCTCGAAACCCATCGACAGATTAGCCCCTGGGGGGCAACAGTCAGTCAGCTTCCAGTGTAGCCAGCGGATATCCCAAAAAAGGATAACAGACATCCGACAAGACTTCCTCTGGAGTGCGATTAGCAACTTGTTATGCATGAATGATGAGAAAGACACATTCTTGCTAAACACCATATGTATATTAATTTTGCAAAAAAATAATAAAAGGCCAAAAATTCGGACAATAGCTGATGGGGTCCAAGATTGGGCCAGGCAATATGATGCATATCACGATAAAGGGGTTACGATTCAATATATCGCTATTTATAGCAATACTGTAAAGTGATACATTGTGATTTTTGAAAATGAAATTTTAGAAAAT